TACTCATAGGTTTTCCTCCCCCGAGACTTATTGGTGCTTTTCGAATCATTTTGTTTGTTGAGAAAACAAGATTATTTTTTATTGAGGCAGTAAAGTTTTTAAGCCTTATAAATATATATTACACGCCTGGAGAATATAAAAAAACATTTCCTTAAAAGCCTTTTTTTTAATAACTCTAATAATAAAAACAAAATTTAATAAAATTTCCCCTGGGAATTTAGTAAACAAACTAACAAAATTTGTATAATTCAGTTAGAGATTTTTCCGAGGGTTTTATATCTTTACAACTCTTGGCATATTCTATGTTCCATAAATAAATAAAAATTGAATACTTGAAGCTGGAAAAAATTCCATGTAACCCCTTGAAACCCCAATCTTGGCAAGAGCTGCTCTGGTGACGTGACTAAGCCAGAATAGAAGAGACCACCCAGAGATACCAAGGCATTTACTGCAGCGTCTCTGCAAATGTTTCTTTACTTGTACTTACACTTCTTTTATTGTTTCCTGATTTCATTCCTTTTTTTCTGAGCTGTGCTGGAAATGTACTTAAATCACGGGAAACGTGCCAAGCAACCAAACAAGGACAATAACACAAGAAGCCAACTTTTATGGGATGGCGAATGTCACTAGATGGTATTTTAAAGTGGCGTATTTTAATGAATCGATCATCAGTATGTCGCGTTGTGAAAACATCAAATTTTATGAATCGCACAGCGGTAACTACAATTATGGAAAAACATCAATGACATTGGCAATAACAACTACAAATACAGACGCCGGCGACAATAATAACAACACCATGCAACAGCGACAACAATAACAATAATTGTATTTACACATAATTGACCATAATCCCCAGCAGCATTCTCGTTATTCAGTCCCTCTCCCCTCGAACGACAGATTTTTATACCCGGTATTTGTACGGTTCTATGGGGTATATTATTTTTGAGGAAATCAAGGATTTATCATGTGCCATATTAAGTAATAGACTTTTGTAATATAAAGCTATTTTCATTTCAATTTCAATAGTGAAGCTATTATGATCCTGTGGACTATCTTTCAGATTAAATTAGAAAGCTTACCTTGGCTAAGAAACATCTAACGTCTAACGGATTTTGTTTATAGGTAGAAAACTTTAATGTTTCAATTACCCAACAATTTTATAAGACATCTAGTACAGGGTATCTATTAGTCCTGTCACTCTTATCCACCGCTCCTCCGTGTTTTCTCTTTGGGTTGTTGTTTTCGTTGTTTTGGTTAAGGCCCAACACCAACTTCAACACCCAATTCGGTTGGTTGCCCATGAAAATGGCCGCAGGCGACATTTTATGTTGCTGCTGTTGCCAGTGAGCTGTTTGTTGTTGGTAATGTTGTTTTCACCCAGCTCTGCTCGCATTGTCTGACTGTAGTTAAATTTAAATGCCAGTAGGCGAGGTGGCAAGGACTACCACTCGGGGGCTGGACCATAAATTAAATAAAATGAAATGAAATAATTTGGTCACGCACTTTCAACTGTTGACATTTGCCTTAACGGCTCCGCCCTAGAAAAAGTATTATTACGGATAATCCCAGACCAGAAGCTTTAAGTCGGCTGTGTACATTGATCCCCAGTTGGAGTCCGGGAAATCAATGTTTTATATACGCTCGTGCCCATGCAAATTATGTGGGCTCTGTGTAGTTGGCAGTGCTGCATATTTATGGGCCGCCGAATGTCGGCAGCATGCACACAGCGAAATCCACTTCATGACCGAAAATTAGTTTTTAACCCACAAAATAATCCCGAATGACATAAGGATGGCCTGCGAGCAGCAGTGAAAAGCGCGAAAATAAAAAAACGCCCGACAACCACAGCGAACATATTACAGTGGCGGACCCTTTGGACCCTTCGTCCTTCATCCTTCGTCCTGTCCATAGTCCGTTGTTCGGAGTCCTTGCTTGCCGGAAGTTGTAAAGCTGCCATTTCTCGGCCATGTTGTTGATGTTGCCACTGCCACCGACTTGGCTTTTCGAGCAACGATTCGCGGCCTCGTAATGCGGTCATTGTTATTGCAATTGTTGTTGCCACCGGGTAGTTGGGTAGTTACGGTAGTTTGGGGGCAGTAGCGCATTTGTTGTATTAACTTTTTCCAAGTGGCATGCAGCAGGAGTACTGGCAGCACCAACAATACCTCTCGAACGCCACCCCCGACGTGGGCCATAATTTATTAAAGCCTGCACCAGAGTGCTCCAGCGTCGGGCCAGCGCCCCCGGCACACAATTGAAATTTAAGCAGCAGCAGCAGCAGCAGCAGCGGCAGTAGCAGCAGAGGGCAAAGGGCAGCGCTCCAGCGAAGTTGCAGAAAATGCGAAACACTGGAGAAATCCCCATCCTCCTGTTTCCCCACCGCACCTCCTGCAACGCGCCACCAGGGAAAATGGTAATCGAAATGTTCGCCGCACGAATCAACGCAAACAAGGAACACAGGGAAAAAATATTTAAAAATATATAAAAGTATCTTACAGATTTTGTAATTTATTAAAACAATAATAAATAAGTAAAAATATTCAAAAAGACATCTCATTAATGTTGAGCATTCTCAACAACAATTATTTACGGTAAAAGGGCTTAGAAATTTATATTTATTTAATAATAAAAAACTGTAAAAAAGTTTAAGAAGTTTAACTACTATGTATTCATTTACTAAGAGTTATGATTCTAAAGTTATATAATAGAGTTCAGCGATTAGAAAGTATTTTAAAATTCTCACCCAGTTAGGAAACACTTTTTCGCAGTGCATCTCTGAGCAGCAGTGGGAGTTGGCCTGCAACACTGGCCAGTTCCCAGTCAATGTCTTGCCTCCTTCGAAGCATTTTTTTCTGGCCTGGCCTCTTTCTGCAGTCAAAGTTTTTGGTCGAAAACTTTTTGGGGTTCGGGGAAATAATTCATGAAACATAGCGAGCGCGAAACGCGAAAAGCGAACATTTTTGTGCCTGTGCCGAATCTGATTGTGACACAAACGAATTGTTCTGGTTGTCGTCGGCGGAGTTTTGGATGTGGAGATGGCGTTGGAGGTGGGTCACTGGGCTGGGTGGAACATGGAGAACAGGAACAGGACCACCGCCACGGCGTTCGGTCGCATATTTATGTGCCTATTTCGGTTTTTTCTATTTGGCTAGGAGCATTACTCTTCTTGGCATGCAAATTTATGGTGTGTCCCAAAACAATTGTTATTGTGTTTTCAACTTTTGCTTGATTTGTGTGTTTTAAGTGATTCCAAATGGGTCGTCGGGGGATTGAGCTGGGTGATTGTCCACCCGGGTTTGTTGGCAATTTGCGGCCAGGAATCCCCCACCCAACAAACAGACCAGACCAGACCAGACCAGCTGATAATTTCTTGGCTGTCATCGGGCCAGACGCGCGCTGCATATCTCAATGCAATTCTAAGCACCCAATAACCATAAAACACTTTAAAGTCCAGTTGCAGTCGAAACTTGCTATTTCGTCCGCTGGATTCCCCACTGACTTTTGTTTATTTGTATTTCCGCAAACAATTCGACTGGCAGTCCGGGAAACTTCTGAGGCCATGCAATTGTTGCCACTGCTCCTGGTTACTTCTCGGTTGTGGCAGCAGTGGCAGTAGGCCACTTCCTGCAGTCGCCGCGGAGTAAGTTCAGCTGCGTCCGCATGCAATTCGTGAATTTTTGAAGGCACTTCTTTTGTTATTCCGGCTCCGGAATCTACCTCCTCCTCCGGGTTTTCCCTACCCCTGCCCCGGCTTGCAATATGCAAACGGTCATTTCGTTAATGAGCGTGGGGCAGCAGTTTGAGGAGGTTGGGGTTAAGGGGGAGAAAAAAGGAAATTCAGGAGCAGCAGCGAACTACAACTTTTACGGGGCATCCGGCGGATGAAGTGGGTTTTCAGTAGGGAGGAGATATAAGACGAAGAGGAGTAGGAGGAACTGGCGGAAGGACCATGACCGGTAGGCAGTGGCCATAAAGCCGACTGCTTAGATAGACAGCAGCAGCAGCCCCTGTTCCCAGTCTGCTTTCCGGATGACTTGGTTTATTTTACGTAATGAAATGAAATTGAAATGAATGTTTTATAAACCGCCAGCTCTGTTTTTCCCTACACTCCCCCTCTCTACCATTTCCTCTTGTAGAACATAAAATTATGATAAAAACTAAAAGCTACATATAAACATAATTGCACTGCTTTTGTTTTTTTTTTTGCACTTTTTTCGTGTCGGATTTTTTCAATACAAATCAGTGTAAAAATGCTTTAAACTGTTCACCATGAATTATCATAATTAAAACACCCGCATAAATATTTATGAGCAATTCGCAATTACGTATATAAAGACAAATACGAATAAGCCAAAATATTTGAGGGACTTTACACATTGCATTTGCATACGATTGTGTGTCATAAAAGTATATATCGAAACCCGTCGTATAACAAGTGGTGCAAGGAGCAGAGTCCGGGGATTTAATTAAATTTGGCTTAATGTTGTCACCGCAGGAGAGTTGCTGCTACTGCTGTTTGCTGCATGCTGCTGCTGCGGTTGCTGGTTGGAATTCGGTTATTAAACATTCTGCGGATTTTTCTTACGTTGCTCGTGGGCCAAGAATTTATCGAATTCAATTAGTACGAAGAGCACAGGCGAGAGCTCCGTCCGCTGAGTAGTCTAATAAGATGGAGATTATCCACTAATAATATTGTTGGTCGAATTTTCTGAGTGGTATTTTGGTCGATCGTTTGGCCAATGTCTTATGTGTATATAGAAGCGACCATCTCACAGATCTTAAATGCCCAATCGATAATGTTAGATGGAACCGTATTAGGACATTTCATTGTTGTCCATCCTACCATCGTGATCTAGATACTTTTCATATGCCTTTAGAACAGCTGACATTAAACATCAGTTAATCGTATCATTTTCTTCGCCCATACGGGACAACTGCATATTAATCTTTTAATATAGTGTGAACACTTTTTAAATTAAGTTTTTTAATATTTGCAGGTTCCACCATTAAGGGCGTCGTGGCCATACTGAATTGTATCCTGGCACGACAGCTTTGCTTTGAGGATCCCTCATGTTCGGCCATATTGGAAATAATTCCGCGCGTCTGTGGGCCCATACCAGGTAAATATAAATATACCAAAAATGCCAGAAAAACATCATTGAAATCAAATCGATATTTATACTGCCCGCTGATGAAATGTTTACACAAAATCTATGGGTTTTTGTGTCAAGTGTTTGCAGAGCTCTCGAGGACTTGCGGCGTCCAACGCTGATTATGCACAAGTTTTGGTCATTTGAGAATTAATTTCCGCTACCAGTGCACGAGTCGGTTGAATATATTATATATATTTCCTTTGTTTTTATTTGCTCGAGGGGTTCGCTTGCTGTTGCCGCTGTGTATGGCTTCGACAACTGTGTAATTATTTCAGCAATTTTTGTGTGTTCCGTGAGCAGGCGCGCGTGCAATAAAACAGTAAATAACAGTGTACACTTAAAGCGCAACAAAAAGCGCGGGGACGAGAAGGAGGAGATCGGCCACGAAGCGCCAGCAAAGGGCATTTGAATATTCAAATGCCCTAGAGAGCTGCGACGCCCGTCGAGTCGAGTCGATGGCCTGTTCCTGCAATACCCTGTAGCAAATGGAGAGTTGGGAAGACCAGCATTCTGGGTAACAGGGCGTATGAGAAATATTTTCATACAGATTTAAGGGATCTTTGTGGGAAAGAAATTTCAGTAATTTGTATTCCAGTAGGGATAATACATACAGAAATTACCAGTATTAATTATTTAGTTATTAAAAATTTTGTAACCCAATTAAAATAACGACATTAAAGAAAATCTTTCTTAGTATTTATCTAATATTCATAAATTTTCAAATTAATCTCTTGAAAATTCTTACTTTATGTGTTCTTTTTAAAGTAAAGACCCCAAAATTTCCAAAAGTTATCATATACTTTAAAAACAATATTTAAGCTTAAAATATACAAAAAGTAAAAGCCATTGACAAACCTTCACCCCTATGATGAAACTTTTAAATTTGTTTTACCAATTAATCTGCTTATTTTAACTTGAAGGACCAACAAATCAAACTAGGGGGTATTCCTTTTTTTCAACATTTGACTTTTAATCTCCTGTTTGTTTTTCCTGGAAAAGTGAATGAGAATGTGTGTGTGTGTGGTGAGCGCACATGACCTGAAGGTGCAAAATGAAAAAGAAATGCGTGGCTGGTGGCGTCCTTCTTATCCGGGTATCCACATTCACTTCCATACTCACCTGGCAACCTCGCAACCTGCCCACCTGGCCACCACCCACTTCATTCACCTGGCCACCTATTCATTCTGCCGCTCAAACAAAAGCCCGGCGACGAACGAATGAGCGCGCCGCAGAAAAAGTTAATTTATAAATTATTCAGTAATTTGTTTTAGACTCGGCTTTAGAACGGTGCCCCGCCACACCCGCCGCCACAAAAACAGCAACAACAATGGAAATAAATTTCTTTTGTGCCACGCTTTGATCCGCCCCTCATTCAAAATGTGTATCTAAGCCGGGACTTTTCCGCGAACACTATCCACCAACCACTCATTGCCGGTTCATCGTCATGGTCGCATAGTTTGTGAAAAGTCCTGTTCCGAAGAGCTGGAAAGCTCAGGCCCCTCGTATCGTGCGCATAAGTCCGCTCTTATATTTAATTATTAATGTTCATTCAGTCCGACCAGCGTCTTGTGGCATTTCTCAGCTTTTGCCGCGCACCGTCTACCCGCCCCCTGCCCTGCCATGCCATCATCATCGGGCACCACGTTGGCTTCCATTTAAGTGGCTTTCACCTTTGTGCGCCTGTAGAACGAAACACGGCGAAAAAATCGCATTTAAAACGGAGCATTAACGGCTTTAGTTTGCTCGAGGCCAGCTTTCTCTTTTGTTTATGCACTCAGAAAAGCGGATAAACACTGGAAGGCCAAGACCATTTCGTTCTTGAAAAAATCCCAAATGAACAAGAGATTAAGCATATCTTCCGAAAACTATTCTGACTTTAACTCAAAGTTTCACAAAATTTAAAAAAATAATACAACAGTATTTTTCTCTGCGTGAAAATGTATTTTATTTTGATTTCTTTTGCCGCATTGGCTCATTTCCGTTCTCGAATAAGGAAAGAATCGGATATAAATGGATATAACCTTTACGGCTGAGGCTTGGACCATTCGACGCACAGGATCAAGTGGTCGTAGCCATGGCCATTAAGAATTTCAATGGCAGTGGCTGCATCCTGGCGAAACTTGAAGCGCACATAGGCGTATCCCTTGCAGAGTCCCGTGTTCTTTTCTCGAGCCAAGAACAGCTTGGTGTGGGGTCCAATTTTCTTAACCAGCTCCTCCAGATCAAGTTCAGTCATGGATTCGGATAGGTTTGATATACGAACCGCCGACGAGTCATCCCGTTCACGACCCCAACCTTTGCCGCCGGAAGATCCACCACCCTCCTTCATGAAGGGAGGAACATATTTTCCCGTCTTTCCGAGATCGCTTATGGCAGCAGCTGCTGCAGCATTGGCCCTGCTTTCCATCAGGGTCTTACTGTCCATCGAAGTGCCTTTGTAGGGACAGTTGACACTCCAATGTTCGCCATTGCAAATGCGACACTTGGCTATGTTCTTGCCGGCGTCCAGTTGAGTTTCATGTGTCTGCTCAAACTCCTTGGAACCGATGAACTGCATGAATATCTCCTCCGATGCCATGGTTGTCTGGGAATTGGGACCGGGCTTGTCCATTTGGGAATCTCCGAACTTCACCCAACTGCGACGACGAGCTACAGCCTTTGGAACAACCTGTTTCTCGATCTTGAACGTGCGCACCACCTTCATCTTCTTGCCATCATCGTTAAACTTGTACTCAGTCACGTACTTGTAGTCGCCCTCGATGTACTCATTGGATGGTGGCAGACCATCCGCATAGTCTGCCTCTACTTCATCGGCCCAGGAGGTATTGAATGATTTCATATTTTAAGATTTTTATATGTTTCCCTACAACTATTTCAAATCCTTAATAAAAGATTTGACTAACTAAATCTACCGAATTGAACGAAAAAAAAAGACAATTCATAAGACTAGCCTGCTTGGATAAATATATTTTACTAATCTCTAATCATTTTGGTGTTATTGATTTGACTTATTCAGATTTCAGTAAAATTTCCAACTTAAAACAATATTATTTTATACACATTATTTAAGTTTACTATTTTGAAAAAAGAAAACCTATTATTTTCGAAATCCAACATGTTTTAAATGATAACTTATAAACGCATTACAAAAATGTTTTCTAAAAAAAACTTTTTAAGGTAAATCTTCTGATAGTCGAACACTTTAAGAAAAGCCAAATCTTATTTGATTAATAAATTTATAAATTTAAGTCAATACAAATAACTAATTCCCTTTTAATAATAGTCTATGTGATATTCAAATACAAACTGAAATATTTTCCTTATCTCCGGCTTTACTCACAGTGAGAGGCAATCTCTCAGAAAAACAGATAAGAGTCTACTTGAGTTCTAGTTAAAGTCTAATAGAATTCGTATTATCAGTTTACTTTCACTCTTTAAATCTGTCGGTCGTTCAACTAAGAATAAAATGTTGCTCTTGAACCATCCAAAAACCGGCCAAAGTCTGGAGATCAATGAATTTTGGCTCCGTGATCATTGCCGGTGTGGAGAATGTCTAAACTTGGATACAAATCAGAGGCGCTATGATATCTTAGACTTACCTGCCGATGTAAAGCCGCTGAATGTTAAATACGAAGGGATAAACCTAAAAGTGCAGTGTAAGTGGGAAAATACATAAATACAATGCACTTAAAGTCAATTATATTTTGACTGCAACCCTAGGGAGTGACGGTCATCAGTCCAGCTATGACGTGGACTTCATATTTGAATCCCAGCTGGAGCAGCTGATAAGCCGGCGGTCAAAGGCCACCAATCTGACGCCCTGGAATCGCAGCATTATCTTGCAAAACGAACGCCACTTGAGATTCAGTTTGCCCAAGCTGGTTTCCAGTGATGATGAAGTCACATCTTTGGTAGAATCTCTAGTCCGTTATGGCATTGTCTTCATCGATGATGTAGTTCCCACACCAAATATGACCGAGTTAGCTCTACGTCGGGTTTTCCCCCTTATGAAAACATTTTTTGGTGAAATGTGGACTTTTAGCGATAAACCGGATCACGCGGATACCGCATATACCAAACTGTATTTGGGTTCCCACACAGATAATACATATTTCTGCGATGCCGCTGGATTGCAGGCTCTTCATTGCATCGAACACTCGGGTTCTGGTGGTGAAAACTTCTTTGTAGATGGTCTTCATGTGGTTCATGAACTGAAATGTCGTTTTCCGGCTGCCTATAATCTGTTATGCAGAGTTCTGGTTCCTGGTGAATATATTGAAAAAGGAGAGCACCATCGCCATTCGGCTCCTATAATACAAGTGGATCCACTTACTCAGGAATTTGTTCAACTCAGACTGAATGTCGCCGATCGAGCTGTTTTCAATACTATCCCCCAATCCGAGATGAGCGAGTTCTATGAGAGTCTAAGGCAGCTTTTAAAAATTGTTAAAGATGATGAACAGCAGTGGAATCTGAAGTTATATCCTGGCAGCATTGTGCTCTTCGATAACTGGAGAGTTCTCCATGGTCGTCAGGCTTACACTGGAAGTCGTACTATGTCAGGTTCTTATGTGCAGCGTACGGATTTCCTAAGCAAGGCTCGGGTTTTGGGAATTATCGAATAAAACCTTTTTATATTGAAAGACATTATTAATAATTCATAATAAAATAAATATAATTTTGGTATTAATTAAAAGTTATAGTCCTTTGTCTCCTTATGAAGACTTGACAGATCACTTAACCTACAGTTTCAAGAGTATGCCTTAGGATACCTTAAGAGCTGAGTATTTATGAATCATATGAAAACAATAAGAGATGTATTTATTATAAATCCTACTGGGCTATTTATGAACTAGTAAGAAAATACTGAATTCTTGTTAAATAATGATTTTTGATATAGAAAGAAAACATTTCACATTGTTTAAATACATTTTTCCTCATCTGAGCCAGGGACCTTCTCCAATTCAATTTCGATTGCAAATGCCAACGCATCATAATAAAAAGTTACGATTACAATTGCTGGCCAGCGTCTAATTTTTTGTCATAGGGGAGGTGGATCGCATACAGAAAACCGGCAACAAAAATCATTTGGCATTTGTTTTTATGGCCAGCGTCTCATGTGGGTTTGTGTGTGTGTTTGTGTGTGTGTGTTTGGCATAAACAAACGCACTTTGAACTTTTTCATTTAAAAGTGAAATTACTTTTTGTTGGCCGTGCAGGTTAATGGCTGTCGCGTTGCTGTCCTTTAAATGTCCTCCAAATATGGATGTGCCTTAAAGAGAGCGAGAGCACAGAACAGTGTCTGAATATTTATGATAATTGCATTTCATGCAGGTTTTCCCCGCCCGCTTTTCCCGTATTTTCCAACCAAGCAACTCTCATATGCGACGGCACGACCGGGAAAAGCCTTTAAAAGCAGCTTCGATGCCCCAGCTGGGCGATAAATATATTTTTGTTCGCTTTTCCTTCGCCGGAAGTTGCAGCACAGCAGTCGTGCCTTTGCATGGCATACTTTTCGGCATTCCACTTCCGTTTTAAAACGCTGCACTCACTTTGAGCCACCGGGGCACTTGTCGATGGTTCAATAAAATCAACATGGACACAAAAGGCTCAGACACACACACGTGTGTATGTGTTCTCCTGAAACAGGAAACTTGTATATCCTTTCCGAAAATAGTTCAAACACAATGTGCCTGCTTAACTCACTCGTAATTAATATGCTCGATAATAATTTATATGCCCTTGAATAGCCAGCTAAACTTAATAAATGACTCATAAATTTCACCAACAGACGGCCATAAAAAGCAAAAAAATAATAAAAACAATCGCCTGGCCAGGAAAAACAAATATCAAACTAAAATCAAATAAAGCAAGGCAGGAAAAAACCATGCCAAACACATGCACAGCAGCAACAAACAAACAAAGAAATCATTGAACCAATTCAGCGACCAACTCAACAACCGGAAACGCGTTTCGAATAAAAACGAATTGAGGACTTAACAATAACAGTAAAAGGCAAGGGCAATGGCGGCGGCAGTGGAAAAAAAATATATAAAAAGGCAACTCAAACAGCAAATGGCGTCGCTTGATGGCGACGAAGCATAAAACCACTCGCCTTGGCTTTATTTTTTTATGACCGCCCAGCATGCAATGACGAAACCAAAGCCAGGTGCCACTAGCCAAGAAATAACCCATGGCCAGGAGCTGCGGGCCAAGAGAAAGGAATCTAGTTAGCTGGCCAGCCATCAAATGCACTCGCCACACGGAGAAAAATGTACTTTAAGATTTTGTGCATTGAAGTTCTAAAAAGTTTCCCAAGCGAAATCAAAACAAATTTAAATTTATTTATCCATTTTGTATATAAACTAAAAATACCTATAAACCAGTTTTTTTATTTTGTATATAAACTAAAAATATGCTTAAAGACTTCAAACACATAGCTTATAGGAAAAATAACTCTTCACGACTGGTTTATATGTTAAGTCTTAGTCCCAGTTACCTTTTTCTAATTGCCACATCCCTATGATTAATCATCTTTTTGTGAATCTGTATCAAAACAGTTCCAAATCCTTTATTTTTCATATTTGTATGCTTTCAAAGCAGCCTTTTCCATTTCCTCGGGTAAGAACATAAGTACTCTCTGTTTCGCCTTTGATCCACAGCCAACGAGTTTTAATTGACACCATGAGGGCCCAAAAAAATCCCCAAAACCCGAAATCCCCAAAAAAAAAAATAAAACCAAGGGGCATAAAAATGATGGATGCCTGTGAAAAATGTCACTTGTTGCTCAGTCGATGCCAGTGTGTGTCTGTGTGTTTTCCAACTTCCAGCTCCCCTGGATCTGTATTGCGAAAAAAAAACCCGTACGGAAGCAACTTTATGTTCAACTAGCAAATAATCATGTCCGGTCTGGATGGGACAAGGGCGTTATTGGAGAGGTCGTGGGGCAATCACAGGGGTTACCGAATGGCAGGGGGGATTTCGGTTCGGTTCGGGTCAGTTGAGTGACGTGAACCACATGGCGTGGTGGAGTGGCCACCACTCGCTTCCCATTATGCGCCGGACTCCCATTGTCCGGCAGTTTGCTTGTTTTGCTTTTTGGCGATTTTACGGCTTATGACGAGCCAAACGAGTCCCTGTCCCTATGTGCGTCCCTATTTGTGCGTCTCGGTCTCTGCTGGCTGTGTTTGTGAAGTGTTGGCGTAGCCGGGTTTATTAGTAGGGCTTATGTTTTATGGCCAAAAGGACAATAGATGGCCAACAGATGTTTGCCTTTTGTTTGTCGTCCTTGTCGTAGCAGTTGTAGTAGTAGTAGTAGTTGTCATATGCTCGAATAAGCTGTCACACACCCACGTATAGTCTATGTGTAACATAATTTATTATGTTATAAAATATTATCCGGCCACGTTCGCTGCGAATCGCTTCATTGGCCGCTTAAATCGACCGTTTTGTTTGGAGACTCAATTATTCATATATGTAGTAGTTGTTGTAACCTCTCTCTCAGCTCTTATTATGACATGTGTCTGGTTTGTAGTTGTCTGGCTGCCATTTATAACAACTGTCATAGCCCACACCTGCACTGAAAAAAATACATTAAGTTAAGAAAAAGTTCCTTCAGGGCAGACAATTTCAAAATCAAATACTGATTGCATCAAAATTCTAATATTTTATATCATTTCTTTATATTCTTTTTGGGAATAGCTAAAGTTTTTCCCTCAGTGTATCCACTCGTACAGTTGGTAATCGATGTGCATCTCCCAAAATGAACCGGCACGACATTAAATGTCAAAGTTTAAGCACTGCTGCCATTTATAGATCATTAAGCATATCAGCCCAATCCCCCAAATGGATCCAACTGTCACTCACTTGCCACAACATGTTGTACTCAATATTACTGCTCCACTCTTCTATTTCCAGTGTCCTGCAGCACGGTGACGGTGACCAAGTGCCAGGCTGCCCTCCGCACTCTGCAGGCCTTCCAGTTCTTTCCGGCCCACCTGCCTATGCAAAGAACCTGGAATGGATCCCGACTGCAATCACTTTCGGGACTTTCTCTTCGATCATCCATGCGGATTTGTGCTGAAGAAAGGTATTTCTAATGGGACATATATATTAATGTATTTGTATTCTAAGTGTCTCTGGAACTACATCTTGCAGCTGAAAAGGATCCGTACCCCATCGATGCACTACCAACTTGCAACCACGCCCTTTCCGTTTGCCAACAGGAACGCAAATGCCTGAAACTCTTCGAGGACTTCAAAACGCACTGTAAAGTGCGGGATAATAAATGCAAAATGGAAAACAGGTAAGCCAGGAGTTAGGAAACCATTAGTTTACTTACAATATATTTACTTTAGAAGCTTAAGTGAACTCTGCAGATTTTAAATTGCGCAGGACTTACATAATTAAAAATGTTAACTGCATATATTAAATATATTAAGGACTTACACAGTATTAATTTATTAAAAGAGTTTATTTTAGTAACAAATAATATTATTTTATACACTTTATCAATCGATATCAAACATGGCGATGATTAAAGAGTGATATGATACACAGAGAAGACTTAATTACCCCTGTCTACTACTTATTCAAAAATCCATATCGATAAAATATTCATATTCACCAAACGATAAAAGATAATTAGTTGGTGACCCAATTGCAATGGAAAATGTAGAATTTATACAAAAACGGTGTTAAAAACGAAATATTTTATTACACTGAAAGACAATACCTTTAATTGATAGCTTAACTTAATGGCAGGACCCGAACATTCCGATTAAAGTTTGAAGTAAATTATGAAAATGGAAAAACCAAGACCACTGCCGTAGAGAGAGCCAATTCCGTTAATGAAAATTAAATTAAAGCGTGTTTGACTTAATAAGAAAATTGATTTGCTCCATGCCGCAACGTGGTCGTGCCGCTTAATGGTTAACGGCAAATGCAAATTGCATTGGCAGTCGGCAAAAAGCTGAAGTGGCTGGAGTTTGCCCAACTGTTCTCTCCCTGTCCGGGGTTAAAAAGCAGGCAATGCCACCAAGCCACCTACTGCAACATTCAATTTCGATATTCGATTTTATTGGCAAAAAACACAACCCATACAGCAGCAGACAGCAGCGTAAACAGGAGTCAAGTTGAGCGAACAGAAGGCGAAATGAAACTTCCTGCTTGCCGGCATCTTGCTGCTTCCTTTCGCCATCACATATCCTTACTGACGCGATTTCCTCCTCCCTGCCAGGACTCGTCTGGCTCATTGCCTGGATGGCACGATGGCTCGTTGCCTCGATACACTTGAATACAAACGTTCTGAATGTTTTAATAACTCGAAATGACTTTTTGCGGCGGCAGTTGGGAGTTGGGCGCTGTGTGTTGTGTGCTGGGAGTTGGGAGTTGACTTCGTTGCAGACTTTCAAACTTGGTCTTAAAATTCCCTTCCTCCACTACAACGACCACCCTCTTTATCCCTCCCATCCCAGCCTAAAACTTTCCGCACGCATACCAGGCATTCTGGCTGCGGGTTTTCTGTTCGGGCTGAGATCCACCTATGCGATAAAATATTAATTGCAGCGCCGTGTGGGTACACTTTGAAAAACAAAAATGATTTTAAAAATAAACACTATTAAGAAATAAATTATAGACATAAAAGACTTTGAGAGGGCCTATAAAAGACAGCTACTAAGTGCTTTATAATCTAAATACTTTAATAATCATCGAAATACTTTAAAAGTTATAACTAGCTTATACACCATATAAGTTTCATGATTTTTAAGTATTTTAGATTTTATAAAGATTTTCAAAATGAAATTAACCAAATTTCTTAAGGTGCACATGCATTTTTGATGTAATTGGCAATTTTAAACTTTGCATGCCCCGAACGGAAGTCGCTGGCGGTGCGGCTTGGGTTTCGGCGGTTAGGGACTTGAAATGAATTCAATTAGTTGGGGCCTGGAAGCCCGAAACGTCTTAGAGCCCCGCCTTGGTTGGGAAAATGGAATGAGTTATTAACCGGGATTATTATCGCTTTCTTTCCAGGGACGCCTGCCACGATTCCTGGACCAATTTGAGGCTTTCACCGATGTTCGGATGCATCTGTCCGAATAACCATATGAAAAAGCGCTGTGATCGTATCTTTAATATTGTTAATCACAATCCGTGTGTGGGTAAGTTTCGACTGGCTAATGGATGAACTGTTGACGGTGACTTCAGTAACAACTATAACAACAACCAATAACAACTACAACAAGCAACAACACAAACAGCTGAGAGTAAAAACAAAATAAGGCAAATGCTTTGAAAAATCGTGGATAAAATACTATATAGTTATTGTTTTCATTGTCCTCTGTTCTTAAGTGTCTATCTTTCTCTGTCAACCTATGGTATCAAGTTCTTCTGTTCATTTCTTATATGCGTACGGTAAATGATGATCACCTTTACCTGCCTATAACGAAGTTGATTTGATTTAACTGTTCCTTTAAGTTGATTTTCTTTTACTCGTTTTCGACTTTAATTCTTTTGGTTCTCGTAATTTTGTGAAACGCTCAAAAACCGAAACTAGCCTAACCATTTAAGTAACCTAAACAACAACCAGAAACTAAACTATCGCACGCTTCTGCATCAAAAAAAAACAACTAGAGAAAATACCCAAAACGAAACCCATGTTCTGCGATCAGTAAACAGTAATCAATATGCCTATATCCAAATATATATCATATACTGTACGAACATTAGCTATGCTCAGTAATCCTAAATATCACGTATACGAATGTATATCAATGTAAACCAAAGCTACCGTGCTATCTCTCTCTCTCTATCTCTCTCTATCTACCTCTCTCTCTCGCTCTCTATCTGTCACTTAAAAAGTTTATTGTAGCAGTAAGCTATCAGCCCATAATAACATACAGTCACTCGCTAAAGTTAACTGCCACCCAGCGAACTAAATCTGTGCTTTAGATTGATTGCACCAAAAAAAATTAAAAAAAAAAACTAAAAACACTTCTAGAACTCTCTCTATAACCCTAGATGTAAGACTAACAAATGCTAGCTAGCAAGCTATACTAACACTCTGTCTCTGTCCTGTCATTTTTGCTACATATTTAATGTGCAGGAGTAGGGCTAGAATAATCTCAGACAGTTGAAAGCTTTGATTTCACCCACGCCAGACCACGAAAACTCTTTAAAGCATAATTTCATTTTCCACTACAACACCAGCCACCTGCACTAATGGATTAAGAGCACCCCAGCGCAGAATGATCCCATCCTCTCGTTTCGCTGAATTTTATTATACAACTACACACTAATTGCACTAATTAAATATCCGCGCACAACACACTAACACACAACCGCACACTGTTGCACACTTGGTTTAATAGCAACAATTTGCACCACCACCACTACACCGGCACTAAAGGTTTTTCTCTATTTTTCCGCACGCATGACCTCCTCCTGCTCCCAAAACCTCCATCCCCTTTGCAGATAGACTAATATTTTTCCCCAACGGTCTGCCCAAATTGAAGCAACAGAGACCAAAGGCAAAGCCGCGGCCAAAACCGAAAGCGAAACCGAAACCCAAGCTAAAGCAAAAGCACCATGGCATCAATGGCACCGAGCTCATGACCAACAATATCGAGTACCACGACGAACCCAACGGACTAAATGAACCAGAGGAGGAGGGTAACGAGACCGAGGTTGAGGATCCCGATGGGAATGCTGAGGACGACGAGGATGAGGAGGACGATGATTATGATGACCGCATACGAGCCGAGATTTATTCGAATTACCCGCACTACCTTCATCCGCCGTCGTGGGGCATTAACAATCCTTTGGTCCTCGCCTCGCACAGTCCGCACACTTTGGACGACGACGACGATGTGGTGGTGGAGGTGGTTAGCAACAAGAAGCCACCGCCATCGGTGCACCATCACAACACTGAGCTGGAGCACGATGTGGTGGTGGTTGTCGATGCTGGACCACACTCCCATTCGCATCCACACTCGCACACCTACTACAGCCATGGCGATCAAAGCTCCACGACGGGATCTGGTTCTGGATCTGGACTTTCGGTGCCAGCACCCACTCTTCCCAGCCCACCTAAGTATGAGGCTGGCAAAAGTTTCTTATCCCCCTCAATCCCCCAAAAAAACCCCCTGACTTAAGTTGGCATCTTCGACTGGAAACTTTTTCCCAGAAAGTTTAGAACCCGCACATACACATAGCATATGTGTGTTTGTGATTGCTTAAACCATCGCTGCCGGAGTATTGCCTTTCATTAACTCCACTCTTAACCACCGAGGAGCAGGAGCTGAAAACTTTATGCAAAAAGCTTTTAAAATAATTGACTCACTTGGGTATGCCACAATTTCCGGTTAAAAAGCCAACTAATGAATAAGTCCAGCTGCTGGGTTAGTAAACAAGCAAACTGCTAGCACTCGTACTAATCGGCTCCCTGGGCACTTGTCGAGCATTTATATAATCTGATTTAAATGCATCTTGCATCTTCGTAAATATCTCAGTGAGCTGGAGACAGAATTAATTTATAATGCCTTACTGCCTGCCAGACATCCATTGGACATTTGGGCGGAAAACGTCATACCCTTTGACTTCTCGGCTTGCTTTGCTAATTGGCCATTGTAGTCGTAATGCTTTAAGCCGATTAATGCCCACCTTAAGTCAGTTTCTTTCCGTAACCAAACAAGATTTATGTAATTTTCTAAATCTACTTATGCTTTTAGTTGTTTAGTTTACCCCTACTAATATCCACATCCCCGTTCATACACTCTGCACTCTGTTTTGTAATTTGCACTTAATTATCTGTACAACTCTGCAATTTATTCAGCACTGGCACCAAAATGCACAAAACAGCACCACTCGGCGATTTAGTTGCCGGCAGCGATATTACCCACCGCACCTACACAGGACCCACGATGGATGAACGAGGTGAGTACCTTAATTGCACTTAGCCAGGCTGCCCTGTAATTTAATCCGCATGCCCCTGGCAATTTGAAATAAATATGGAAACGATTGCTGCTAAATTATTAGAGCTATACATTCATTTGTATAGATATTTACGAGTATATACTAAAGTCAGGAATATGATAACATCAATTTGTATAATTATTAGCAGGGCAAATGCAAATTTCAGACCTATTTGGTTTGTAGTCTGAAGGGTATTGAAAGGGCAATCAATACTATTATATTTTTTTATATTAAAAATTATTCTCAAAAAAGGGTTTTAATATATTTATTTTCAGTGGAAAAGAGAAGAAAATTACTGCTTTTAAAAGATGTAATTTTCGTATTTTTATTATGATTATTTCTCTAAGGGAATGTTAGTTCTGGAATTTGGAAAATAACACGGTTTATTCCTTGAATTTTTATTATAAAAATTCTTTGATTATAAACTTATTGGGAGTGTAGAATATCTAGCTATACATTAAAATTTCTATAATTCCAAACAAAAACCTAAGCCTATATTATATTTTTAATTTATTCAGGAAAAGTTTGTTCCCTTACATTATTTATTATTTTTAATAGCTTTAGTTCTGAATTTATTTGCATGTGAGGAAAGGGTAATAATTGCTTGCCCAAATTTTCCAAAAGCCAACTCATTGGTTCACATTTAATTCAAATTAAATATTTATGCAGTGCGAATGGGAAATGAAGCAAAGGGTCGAGCCATAAATTAGACAATTGGCGTGTAAGTAAGTATTCCACAAGGAGCAAGATGAATTTAAGCGCACTAAGAAGCACTAGAATGCCCCTACCTCTCAGTCTCTTTCTGGCACAAATTGCACTATTTTACCCATCTCGTTCTCTCACGATTCCTTCTCTCTCACTCACTTTCTGTTGGAAAGCTTATTAGGCAAACAAAGCTGGCAAACTCAAGCGTTTTGACCAGGCCAACAGGCGTCCTTTGTTGTTTGCAGCTCGCTCCATGGCATTAGCTATCTGCAGGGGCAATCAGTTGCAGTTCCCTCAATGCACAGACACTCACACACACACACACTCACATGCATTATGCACACTCACACAGAATCACGAACATCCTGATGCAATGCACACCAGTGCCATAAATAAGCATTTCGACCCCTTAACGCGTCATCAAAAAGCAAAGTCCAAGAACAGTAACCCTGCACTCCACTGTGGCTTATGGTTTATTGGTATTCTATTCTAATTCATAATATACAGAACACTGAGAAAACAAAATTCAAGAATAGAAATCGTTCTTCAATATACAAATATAAAAACTTATGTTTGTATAGTTCTTAAAAATGTTCGATTACAGAATTAGTTAATATGATTTCGCATCGAAATCTCTAAATTTTTTACAAAATTTTTCTTATTAACTTGCTTGCTAATACAAAGTCATAGTTTATTAAGATTTTTAAAATTCACTTTTAGTTATAATATAAAAAATTTTCGTTTGGGGCTTTATAGCATTTTAATAAGTTTCTATCTGAGTCAAGTATAAAAATATAAACTTCGTCTAGACTTGAGATCTTGAATTTGTTTTCTCTGTCTAGTTATGTTAAGTTTCCCCTTTCGTTTGCTGCTATTTACAGACTTAGTAGTTTCGCATAACACAATAAAGCGTATGCCTGCAATTGTTAATGGCCTAATCAATGCATCCTCTGTTGTTTGGTCCTTTGATTGTCTGTTGGTTGCACATCCTCTCTCTCTCTCTCATTATTTTTTTTTGTATTATTTATTGCTACAGATTTCACTTGCCATTTGACGATGGCCGTCCATCATCATCGATGGTGTTTTGTTTCCGTCTCGTTGCACCCGGCAATCTGTTCGACAAAGTTATAAATTCCCCAGCCTGCAACCAGCATGCTGCATACTGCATTGTGCCTCTTCTGCACACAGCTTTGTCTATTGTTGCAGCTGGCGAGCTATGGGATTGCTGTAAATATTAGCAAACTATTTATGCACGTCAAGCGCACACATCCACTCGCCGATTTGCATACATTTTGCACCGACACTTGCCTTATTTACGTTTATAGCGACCAGTAAATTAACAACATAAGCAGCCACAACAATAAGCCCGAATTCGGTTTTGGTTATCTGATTTTTGGTTGAATTTTCAGCGCGATATCTGCATAAATATTCCAAGGCAAAGGCAGTGGTTCAGCGACTATATTTTTTTCTTTTCATTTCAGCTGCGTTATTTAAATTGAATTGTTATTGTTGCTGATTGGATTCTCAAATGCAAAGCATAAACATTGTCAATGGCCTCGAGGGCTTAAAATTTTCCAGAATCCCATCAACAATATCACTATGTAGTAATATACATTTATGTATATAGCAACAATGGCACATGAAAATAAATAAACAATGGGCGGATTTATGATTTAGAAGGCGTCGCTTTATGTACTTTATACACTAGATAAATTAAAAGCTTTCATGACAATCAGAAAGTTAAATAAGTTGTGTGAAGTATGCCTAATTTAAGGCATTCATTCATTCGTATATTAGGTAAATTCTAAAAAATAACTAACGTTATTACATTATTGTTTCTTTCTTTTTGAAACTATTTGCGATAGCCCATACAATTCTTTAAAATAACTAACCAACCAAATTAGTTTAACGTCAGTAAACAACGCTCGAAATAGTTCAAACTTAGTCCATCGGCAATGGGTATCTCGTGTATAAAAATTAAGCTGAGCGTTCAATTTGAAAATTTAATTAAGCACAACTAAAAAGCAAATAAAGCGATTTGTCAGCATTGCGCCAACAACAAAATGAAGCAAACACGCTTGCCAAGCACCCTTGCACCTTACCCACCCACACACAACTAGTCACCCACCACCACCACCCATCGCACCACCCACTTTTCTATGTATAAGGGATATACATATATGCACATACATATACACGATGTTTGCGTGCAATAAATATTTTCATAATATTGTACAATCCACTTAGAAGTAGCAGAGGGCGATGTTGATGCCACAAACCATTTCGCCGCCATTCCAAGCACCTATATATGCCTGTGTATTAGTGTACAACGCTTGCATGTCTCTGTGTGTAACGGTATAAGTATCTGTGTGTGATGCAGCTGCTCACAGCTTTCCCAATTAGGGCATGAAAACCACGGCTATTTGATATGGCAGTCGTAGACCGTAGTCGGCAAACACATTCATACGAGTACAAACATATCAACATTCGCGTTTTTAGTATCATAGTATCACAAGCATTTAGCCAGAATGTAATTTTCGAATTATTGCACATTCTCGAAATTTATTTCCATTGTTTATGAGTTTGCTTTAAATTTCGCGCACCATCTATGTAGCTCGACATTTACAGCTTTTGGTTAAATATTAAATGGCATCCAATGACCCGAGTGCAGATGTAGCTGCAAACGTTTTGTATTGGACTCAACGCTGCGTATACGCAACAATTAGATGACACAGATCTACTCAACGACAGGAGCTTACAAGCGCGATAACAGTTAACAAACGGAGCTAATCCCATTCAAGCCACCCACCCAAGCTCAAGACATTCCAATCTGCGCCCCTCCGCCGCCCTTTTCTGTCTTGTCTTGTTTGTTGTGCAAATATTTGCGATGGCAATGCGAGCGACAAACATAAGTACGTCGCACGTATCCTGGCAAATCCTTGGCCATTTAGCGCCAGCAGTGGACTCACCCTCAAACTGGCATTCAAGCGGCAGATGGGAGCTGGGAGCAGGGAATGGCCCTGGGATTGGCATCCTTTTGAGCTTTGCCAGACGCCGCAAATGAAGCGCACTTCGGCGTGCTCTCGGCGAGATAAGCCAGAATGGCACTGTTAGAAAACCTGTTACCAAAAATAAACTAAATTGGGGTAATTGCTAAGAAATTTCAGAGACTAAACATGAAAAGGAAATAAAAGTAGTTTTTATAAATTTAAAGTGACCTAAAGCTAAAAGAAATTTTTAAAAAATTGTTTAAGGAATGATTTAAGTTACATTTTGAAAATTTTTAAAAGATCAGAGTGGGTAAACCGTGCATCTACTATTTCACAATATTTTAATAACAAATAATAGAGCTATAAATAAATGTTAAAAATGTTTTTAGGAAAAACACACATAAATTAAGATTTATTAAGGTTATATTACACCTGTAATAATACACATTTTGTGTTTAACGGCTAATAACTTATTTCCGATTCATGACAATTATTAAGATAAAGTTTATAATATTTTTTTAAATTCTGTGAGAATTCAAAATAGTTAAAAATTTTTCTTTAAGTGTCTGCAGTGATAGCGAAGCTACTGCTGCGGTTGCAAACCGTTTTGAGAGCTCGCCGTTTGCCATTTGGACGCTCTATCAGCGCATGACATTTGACAGACAGAGACACCGGGACGGGCGCTTCTGTTTGGCTTGTGTTTATGTTTTCCATTGATAGCAAATGGCAATCGGAGCGTGGCGAGTCGCAAAACCTGTAATGGAAATCGATTGGGGAACTGGAAAACAATTCTAAAAACGATTCTGTTGCTCTTTCTTGAACTCTAGCTCTCTAATTCTAACAATGCAAAACGTTTCACTCTGTCTGCACTCTGTCCAGCACTAATTTTAAACGATAATTGTCGGCACCGTATTCCACACAAAACTCCTCTGAATGTTTGTTCAAGTTTTTTTCTATCTCTCTCTCTCGTTTCGTTGACACTATCTCTGTATCAGTTTCCTTTCCTGAAGTGGAAATTCTTTCTTTTTATGCCAAGAACTTCGGCATTCAAACGAATATCATTTTCTTTTCAAGCGTATCTTTTTTTGTTGTTGTTTACATACGTACAAAGTACAAAAAAGTATTTACTAATAGCAATAAAATTGATTGTAAGAAAGCCAAATGCTACAACAAAATATATACAGAAATTTATGCGAATCTGATTGGATAACTCAAATGCTGCGTAGTAGCTGCAACTACAGTCACAACAAAATATAAAAACTCCAATAACAACAATAACATCAAATCAAACAACTATATAGATGGCACTGAACAAGAACAATAACAACCACCAACAACTACAACAATTCTACCCCTCTTTCTTCTTGCTAACCTCAAATTGCAGTAAGAATATTGGGCATGGACGAAAAACTGCATCAGAGAATCTTCAATGATAATTTGGCCCTAATTGATACGCCACTTATTGCCATGGGCACCGGCTCCGGTTCCGGTACGGTCACCACATCTGGTTCCGGTTCCGGTTACGGACTGGGCATGGGAATGGGCATTGGCATGGGCCTGTCCGGCGGCTATAACTATCCGGGCTCGATGCACGGCGTGCCCAGCTATCCGTTCAATATAAGCGGCTTCCATCAGCGGCACATGGCAGCGGCGGCTGTCGAAAATGAACCATTCGATATCATTGATACGGGCTTGGGCTACGGCGGAAACGGAAATGCCGGTGTTTACTACCAAAGTATGTGTACACGTATTAGCATGAACGTAATCCATAAATAACAAAATCCACGACCAACTACAAAACCAACCAAGCAAAAAATTAAAAAAAAAAAAAAAAATATATATATAGATAAATTAATACGCAGCAGTACACACAGCCAACCAAATCCAGATATGTGTGTGTGTGTGCAAACTCGTAGAAATATAATTAACAGGCAAAAAAGTTCGTTGTTTCATTTTGTTCGTTCGTTCACCATTTTTAGATAGATTTCTGTGAATTTATTTATGATTTCCGTTCTGTGTCGTCCCCCTGTAACCAAAAACACCCCCGAGTTGCAGGTAAATTTTTTGAATAATAATAAAAAAAAAATACCATCGAGTTCATTCCAATTTTTTGCTTTTGTGTTGAAGGTGAATATATATATATATACATATATAAATACAACTTGGCGCGATCCGTGCGCCACTTGGCTTTGTGCATAATTTTTGGCAATCGCTCAACAAAAAAAAAACAAAAGAAACCTAAGTATAGTTAAAACTACAAACAATTTATACAGTTTACAATTTCTATACATATATAAATATTTACATATCTCGAACTCTTTCAATTGCTTTTGTGTTCAATTCCTTTTTCGTAGCTTGCCATTTGTTTTGAAAGTTTTTTGAAATTTTCTTACAAGAAATATACAAAAAAAAAAAAACAAATTAAAACCAACCATTTGCTTCCAATGCGTTAAGAATCAATTTCTTTCTATGAATTTTGTTTGTCATTTTGTTTATCTAACAGAAAATTCTAGAAAAATCCAAATGAAATTAGAAAATTGTATACAAGTTGTGAATATTTTCGATACTAACTTTTTTCGTATGTTAAGTGAGCAAAATGGAAACCCTAAACAAAACCGAAAACTAAACAAAATTCATTTAATTTTTTCCTAAAATATATATTAAAACTTAAACCAAAAAATGAAAAACCCAATCCAATTTTGTTACATTCAATTCCAGCACACTTTTTCAAATTTATTCCAACGCACCCAGTTTTTTGAATCCAAAACAATAACAGTTACTACAATCAAACATAACAATTAAAACGTTTTCGATCAAATTTTTTGAGATCCAAGCCATCGTTCAGACCCCTTCAAATGCAAACCTTTGTGTCATACATTCTACATTTCATGTTCACAAGACATCGAGCTCATTGTGTCATACAACAAAGCCAGCGAATACATCAAAAACTTTCTTCTCAAGGACTTTTATTCAATCTTATAATTCTTAAGACAAACTGAGGTTGAATTCGCTAAAAGCAGCCAAGAAATTGTTCCTCAAAGAGAAAACATACAAATTGATTTTATTTAAGACATTTTCGTTCGCTTTTCCGCAGCAGCTCGACTTTCTGTTTGGCTTATTCCTTTTTCAGTTTTCCGTTCGAAATCTAATTATTTGCGTTTACATTCGTACCTTTTCTTGTTTGAAGCATAAATTCATTTTATTTTCAGCTGAGTCTGCAGCGAAGCATTTATGTTTTCCTTTCAAATACCACATACAACCACCAACACACTCACACAGAGTACCGAATACTGAAAACCAATAAAGTATGCCAAAGAAACACATTCTCACAGTCGTCAGAGCATTAGCATAGAATCATGAATCCCGTGTGTTCTGGGTAACCAGAGATATTCCGATAAATAAATCATAACCCTCATTTAAATATACACAGCCACAAAGGAGTACAGTCTTATGCTAGAATATCGTTGCCGATCCCCCTCAGAATATTTTTATCAGTAGGTTTGGTAGTTTTTAAAGTCGATACCAATAAATAACAAAAAAATAAATAAACTTATATCTCTCATATACATTATATAGAACTTACTTAGTTGTGTTTTGCCAGCCCTGCAGACCCTGCGACCACGCCCCCTAAAAAAATGTTGAAAGTAATATCCCCAAAACTCCTTTGCCCCCTCAATTGACTCTCACTCTCTCAATCTCGATATGCCTCTACCCCCGGATTCCAGTAATAGGCAATAAACAAATTTGTGGAATATTTGCATTTAATTTACGTTATTTATGTGAATTTTTGTTATTTTGATTTCATAATTTCGATCATTTTTTTCGTGCTGGTTCAAGTGGGTTGGGTTGATGTGCTGGGAGGTCATTTGAACGTTTTGTGATTACCAATTGAAACTGAAGAGCGAACAAAAAGTTGGTTAATTAAAATGCAATCGATAACTGCTGCCGCCGCCCGAACCAACCAGCCGACCTGATTGATATTCCGATTGAAAATCAGTTATGGAAATGGTAATAGTAATTGAGTTGTGATTAGGAGGCCTATGTGCTATGGGCTCTGGGCTCCACAAATAATCGAAACCACTTTTCTGGCCTTCAGTTAAGCATCGAATATAGTTTCATGTGTGAATTACACCTAAATCCCATAAATAAATAAGCCAATTGAGAGTGAATGGGCAATAACAGGCTAAAAACGGATATAAATAAATGAAATTAATTAAGACCATGCAGCGGCAAATATGCACAAACAAAAGGCTGCCAATGAATTCAGCATTTTAATTAGTTCTAAATGCCATCCACTCTCGATTCCTGTAATCAGCGATTTTACAATTCATTTCAACAAAATGCTCGATGATTGAGCTTAAACCAAATTCAATCGAATTAAAAACAGCTAATGCAGTGCACCAAGATTGGTTGGGGAAAGGCGGTCCAGGCATTGGATTTACTTTTTTTGTGTTGGGATTGTGCGAGTGCCGGTAGAAAGCACCCAAATCCGTATCCGAATCGAATATGCTGGCTGAAAGGGTTGCGCAAATCGAAAACTAATGAACTATTTCAAACATTTTCTCTACGCATCTCCGCTGCGGTCAACATTTACCCCATCGTCCCAACAAATCCCCATTCGATCGCCTCTCCTGGGAAACATTTGCTCGATGCAAATGCAAATGCGACTGACACACTTGGGCACGTTTGGCCGGTTGCAGGTGGTCAGGATGTCGAAGTTGACCTCTCAACGGAAATAATCAAGCAACACTTTCAGGTGAGTGCAAAGAAAAGCCCCCGAAACGAGACATGGAAAATGCAAAGTGCAGCTCACACAATTTGTAGCGTTTATTATGGTGCACTGTAAAAAATTTACCCACTCCAAAGAAGTTGATTATTTTCAATAATTTGTTGGTAAATATTGATTTAATATTGATTAAAAAAGGTCCTAAATACATTTTATCAATTGTTATATTATTCGAAAAGACAAATTCTGCATAGTTAATAAAACGTGACAACAATTTTTAAAAAATTATCTTTAAACTTATTAAAACTTGTTAGCCTTTTTAAGGTTTTAAGAGAATTTCTTCAACAGGCCTAAGATAGTCTTTGAAATTCATTAGAGTCTTTATAAAGTAATCTTACAGTTTTCAAAAACTATAATAATCTGTCTCATATAACCATGCAGATATTTTAATTTTAATCCGACTTTTCTCACCGTGTGCTTCTCCCCGCAGAGTACCTGTCACACGGCATTGGACACTTGCCGGGAAGATCCGTCCTGCTCATCGTCCCTGCAGCCAATGCTGACGCACTGTGAGCTGCACCGGTGCAATCGCAACGCGTGCATGTCCTCGTTGCAGGCCTTCTACAAGGGGCCCCACGAGGACCTCAATCTGGACATTGCCTTTTGTCTATGCAAGTAAGTGGCTGGGCAAGCCGAGTGACGTTGTGCTCGACTGAAGAAAACCCCAACCAAACCCATTGTTCGCTGTTTGGTTTCAGAAAAACAAGCAGCGTCCAGCAGAACGGCAATGGAAATCGGCACGACATGTGCATGATTGCACAGGAAAAACTGCATCCAGTGTGCGCGCAGCGGCCGCCCGATAACAGTAATCCTGCCAGCTCCAATGGCATTTACTACCATCCACCGCCCGCCTGTCATGTGGTCGCCGACAGCTGCAAGGAAGACCGCGAGTGCAGGTGGGTCAAAAGTCATAATTCAAAAATCGGGCGTTAAGCGTTAACCGGAACCGGAATTATGCGCGATGCAATGTATATTTCCCGAACGTAATGGTGGTCAGTGTCAGGCTATAAAGTCACAAAGCTAAAATCGCAATAACTTCCCTGCTTTATAGTAATTTTAATTTTAAGCTCCTTTAATTGGACTTTTTGATTGGTTGCAGATACATCAGCATTTTTTCTTTTTTAAAAGATACATGTAATTTTTTAATAGCAAGTATTTAAATGGATGAAAAAAACTGTAAAATATTTATATTCCATCTTCCTTTTAACCTTTATTAACTTCTTAAACCTCAAATTATTTCACTTTGCCATATATGAAACGGCAAAAAACATGTTTTTAATTTTACCCCCAATTCAATTAGCCAAAATTGAATTTCAGAGACTTAGTTTCGGGCGCGCCTTGATATTGAATTAGAGGCGTTTAGCCACGGCAAAGTCAGCGAAAGCCGCAACTTTGATAGCACTCAGCTGAACTCGTTAAGTTGACACGATAGGACGAGGCTCGGGTTAGCTGGGTTGTTCGCTGCATGAGCTCAAAACTCCTAAATTCCGTAGTTGCTGGCAAGCGGGGCATAAAATTACCAGTTTGCTAAAGGCACACCCTCAATCTGTACGGAGAATGGAGCATGCAGCACGGAGATCTTCATTAGGCGGCAGCAGCTGAAACTTGCGGCCCAGACCGCGTGAATGTGTCAAACACAAAGTTAAGTTATAAATACGATGCAACCACCCAAACAGCTTCCATCTCGGATGCACATGCTTAGGAGTGGATGGTGGCATGGCGGGTGGGTGGGCTTGCTGGCTTGTTTGTTTGTTTGTTGTCATGTTACGGCTGAACGACCGCAAAGTACGTGGTCGTAGCTGTGGCTCTGGAAATTAATTGCCTTTTAAGTGAATCGCACTTGCTTTGGTAAACAACTAAATTGGACTAATGACGCTCATTTTGTATGCTTCAGCTAGGGGGATGGGCGCAAAGGGACCCAAGAAGTTCCATGCAACGTGTGGAGTGCTTATGTTGACTTATTACGTATACGACGCGTTGTGCGCCAACACGTGCCTCCTGCGAACGTGTTTCCGTCGGCGAATGTTCATTTGTTTGGCTGCCATCGAAGCTGCTGCCCTTACTTCTTAAACTGCACTTCGTCGGCTGCGTGCGTCAGTCTTTGGTTGCACAAAACGTTGCAGGCATTACGCAACCAAGAGAGCGCAAACAATCTCAGCTTTTTGCGTCAGTTAGTCGTAGATTGAGATAAGAGGGTGGAAATATAGAAATATGCACTTTTTACGGCTGCAAAAGTTCTGCTGGTAAACGGCGAACGGAAAAGTTTTTTAAAACATGAATCTCATGAAAAAGGTCATGGCATTTCTGAACGATTTTTTCTCGAATGAGGTAGGAACTAAAAGTAGGGATATTCCATTTCAATGAGGTTTATAAGTCAATTGAATGGAAGATATATGGATGGTTTCCTTTAAGTGTTAAATAAATAAAGTATATAAAGAATTTAATTCCTTTCCTTTGAGACTGAAATGTTACAAAAATGAGGCCCCTTAACCTGCATCCATTTCATTCAACCTAAGTTGTAGCAACATATATTGGCCTTAAATGTTGCAGACATTCAAAGATCAACCACAATTAGGCATTGCTATCAGATTAGAATGTCCAAGTTGTCGCCCTGAGTCGATAAACTGCAATTGAAATATTACGCATACGCCGCATGACTCTTGCCTGAGATTGGGGCCTCATAAATTTGGTTGCTCTGATGCGGCGGCAGTACGGGCAGTTTTCGCCCCAAGACGATGAAATGCCGTAGAACGCCGAGAGTAATGCCTGCACAAATTGTTCGACATCAATCTTAGGTGAGACGAGAAGCTGCAGTGCAGGTAAGGGCCCACTTATCACCGGAATCTCTGGCGGAGTGTGGGGCATGCGACCAGGAGAACTGCATCTGCAGTTAACTGGCGCATGACAGACACGAAGACATCGGCAGAGGCAATGCCTCCATGATGGAAATGGGGATGGCAGCTTCTTTTAGGAGCTTACTTGGGTTTTACGAGGTTTTTTTAACACCCTGGGAAAAGTTTTTAATATTGATTTTTTAATAGTAGCAAACCAATGCCAAATGAAAAGTTTTCTATGAAAAATTTCCCCCACACTTAACCAAGTCATAACCAATTTTAAACTAAGGAAATACAAAAAGAAAACGCTATTTGTAAAAATGAATTAACATTTCTGCGCTTCTATACCTAAAATATGTTAATTGGATCCTTAAAACCTAAAATTTATTTCTGAGTTACCTAACCCGCTTGTCCATTTATATTTTTAATGTTCCTTAACAGATTAAAGTTGGAGTATTACGAGCAGGCCTGTGCCGTGGATAGCGTGACCAAAAAATGTGCCGGCAGGCCGAGTGGCTGTCGAACTGCAATGATTGGCATTTTGGGCACCATGTTGAGGACGACCTGTGCCTGCCAAGGAACGGATCCCCAGCACCTGTACCAGTGTGTGGGATGGCGACGTCTACTGTGGATGAACCCCTGTGTCGGTAAGTTAAACTCGGCACTCAAAATAATTTTGTTGAAATTGGAAAATAGTTTTAAGAATATAAATTCAAAAATTTGTTAAAAAGGAAAGCGAATCCCTTTTCTGATTTTATATAAATATTAAAACAATTTTCATAAATATTCAGACTGCCAAAATATCTTTAATATGGAGAGGCATTTGTTTTACCTGTACATCCTTGCTTGCTTATTAACTCCCACATTCTTGGAATCTTGACAGTTGAGGCTCAAAAGGATTTCCATATGAAGCGATTGGCTGAGCTCGGTTTCCTGACCACCACAACAACGACGACCACCACGACGACAACAACAACGACGACAACGACCACGCGTGCACCGCCGCCTCCACCTCCGCCCACCACAACAACAACGACTACTACCAGCCTGCAGCCGAAGCAAACGCCTAGGAAGCCGGCGACGCACATCTTCAAGGACGTCATTGCGGTGAGTGCCTACTTAGGCGTCGGCTACTCCCATTTGGGTCCTAATTGCCCCACAGCGGTCAACTAGTGGTTAATCCCATTCGAATCGTCCGTTCAGTTCGATTTTAACAAGCATCAACAACAGTTACCTGTTTCCGATTCCCCCAGCGTCCCCTTCTCTTAATCCCTGTTCGTCTTGTCCAGTTGTCCAATTGTCCGGTTGTCCGTCCATCAGTAGTCCGTTCGTCGGTTCGTTTTCTGTTTTCCAATCAGCACTCAATCAGTGGCTCAAATGGGGCGGCGTGGGCGTGGCTGGGCGAACGGCAAAGCGGACAATATGCCACACAACATGCCGGGTCAAACCAAAGTCCACACCCTGAATTCTGCTCCGGATTGTGCTTCGGTCCAGGCCGCCTGCACTCGGAAAAAGATTAATGCTTTCTTAAGAGAAAAACTTATAAAAATATATTAACTTAAAACCTACATTATAAAAGTTCTAACCCTTAATTTAAAGTCCATTCGAAACTTTAAAGAATCCTTATTTGTAATATTTTATTAAAAAAATATTATCTCTCGTAAACTCACACAAAAATAATAATATATGTAATTGAACATACTAATTATTTCTCAAAATAGCTTAAAATACGCTTTCCCTTTATAAATATATCTAAATATAATAAATATTTTTACATCCATTTTCCGAGTGTGGATACGCGTCCTGTTGAAACTCTGTTTCAGTTGCTGCTTGCGGCCCAGTTCCTCGGGTTGGCAAACCGACAAAGCAATCAATTCCTGACCTGCAGCCAATGTTGCTGCCTTTGCTGCTGCAGCGGCAAAAAGATTAAGCCCCTCAACCCAAACACACACACAAAAATATATATTCATATACATATATATATATCCGCATTCGTTTTCAAACTCTTTAACATCTTTTCTCTTCCTCCCCAAACAATTGCAACAATGAACCGCAAAAACCACGAAAAATGCAAATAAATAAATAAAAATGCGAAACAACAAATATGAAACAAAATACAACAAAAAAAATATGCGAAAAAAACTTACAATAAAATTGAAAAACCACGAAACGCAAAACCAAACCAAACTGAACCAAACAAAAAAAAAAAAACATAAAAATGACAACAACAAAAATGTCGGTGAAAACGGCAGGCAAAAGAGAAATCAGAGCCAACATCGGTGGAACACAATTATCTCGATCCGCCCGACTCAATACCGCTGCCCAGTGTGAATGTCGAGAGCGGCGGAAATGGCGGAAATGACGATTATCGCAGCAGCAACGGCAATGGACACGGAAATGGAAATGGCAATGGTAACGGGAATGGCAATGGCAGACGTAAAAATGGCGAAAAGGGACGCGGCGGCAGTATAGATTTCGATGATCCAGTAATTTTCGTCGACCCAAGGGAAACAACGGAATTTGTGGGCATCAGCATCACGGAGCCGGTAACCACAACAACCACAACAATGGCCACCACGACAACAACACAGCCGCCAAGTAAGTAAATGCAAGTGGGTAATAAATTGGTCCACCCAGTCAGTTGGAATTGGGCATCCAATTGAGGTCGGATCTGTCAGAAAAATGTTATTCCTTTGTCCTTCAATCACAAGGTGGATTCTCACGTGCGTCATCTAAGCTTTCCAACTGATTTATATTCATTATTTAGGGGTTATACTGAAAAAATCCTTTGACAGTTAAATAATTTAAATAAACTTTAATAGAGTTCGTGATGGTTTTCCGAAAATACATCTCACATTAATGTTTTCAAACAAAATTTTGTTGACATCAAACCGTATATCATTTATCCTCCTAAAGAGTATTTATGTATATTAGTTTGTGAAGTATAACTAATTCATAAACATAAACATTTTTGTTTTCCGTGTACACACATCACTCTTAATTTTTGTACTTTTGGGTATCGTTTCCGTTTTGAAGTTTTCAACATAATTGATGCGGTGACTGCGGTTGTTTGGCTAATTGAAAGCATAACTCAGCGTCGACCGTGATTATTATTTTAATATTTTGTACGCCAATCATTTAAAATTCAGTATCCGCAATGGTTTCTCCTCCTCCTACCATCCGCACATCCTTACGCATAACCGGAAATGAGTTTGCTTTCGTGGCGATGTGGCAATTATTCGACTACACATATGCACACGCCGAAATCGCATGAAAGGACCACCTCCAAAATGCTAGGGAGTCTTGCCGACCTAGGACATTGGCAAATCCGATTAGGTTTTGAATGCCAAACGCACACATATCACTCGAATAAATTGTGATAATACTTCCGTTATTTAAAACCTCCTGCCGAGGACATCGTTTATTGTCCGTTCATTTATCACTGGGACTCCGGGGTCGAAACGTGTTTACAAACATCATTAAAAATGCAAATGAGTTTGTTTGTTTGCCCAACAGTCGTCCAACAGTCCATCAGTCTGTCAGTTTGTCAGTCATCCGTTCGGTCAGTCAGTTCGTCATCCCATGTGGTCAGCTCGTCCGTTGTAATTATTTAGACACTTGGGACATTTGGCTTTGAATTTTGCATGAAATGTTTCTGGCCCGCAGCTGAACCCGTTTGTGCCTCATCTATAATTGATTTTGCTCGTGCAGTTAGGTGGATATTTTAAAACTATAAATTTAACCATTGTAACTAGCCGACCCCCACCCGTGTAAATTATTTATGTGCATGTTATGGCTCCTTTATTGGCAAAGTTGGGCTTGAAATAGGGATTTTGATTAGATAGCAAAGCCCCAGGTGCCAGTTAATTCGCATCTTGGCAAGTCTAAAGTGCCCGTTGGTAGTAATTAAGTGGCAAAGTCTTCAACTCTAGGATCTCAAGTGTGTATGTGTAAGAGTGAGTGAATGTATGTGCAAATTTGTGCTATATAAACACGAAGCTTCACCCATTCGCTGGCAAAAGTTTTTGGCCAGGAAAAACTCGTAATGGCGTTGATGACATGATGAATGCTCCACATGAGTGGCGGACATCCGTTATTTGGGCATGAGTGGCAGGGTCGCATTGTGTACGTTGCTGCCACCAAACCAAAAAAAGGGATGTCTGTCCGTTTGTGGGTGGTGTAAAGTCAAGACCTTGGCGCCACACTTAAATCCCAACAACGTGGTGCAAATAGAGTGAAAATTAAGTTCCATTAAAGGCGTTAAACTGGTTTACGGCTGACCTTTGTGTGCCTTCAAATTAGTTTAATGAATTATTCCATCAATTAAGTACTCAATATGATTTTATTTGCAGGAAACTGTGTTGTGCAGCGACCACGCCAGTCGGATCAACTTATTCGTGAAGGCAGCAGCAAACGGGTAAGTTAATTAGTTAGTGAAATTCATAAACAATTACTATTAAAATACCAAATTCGCATCCCAAAAATATGCCAAACATTTAAGTGTGTTTTATTTATTAACGCACTTAAATGAAAATGGCAAGTCCGAAGCCAAATAAGTGCAAATGAATATTTCATTTGTTTCTCTATCCTGGCTTTTGTTGAGAAAGTGCTTTTTAGCGCATTTACATAACTAAAAGTTAAGCCGGAGAGAAATGGCCAGTCAGCTGAAAGTTGCAAATATTCGTATGAAAATATGGTTTCAAGTATAGCACGTGTTGGCACGTGCTACGGAAAATAGGGAATCATGAAATATAAATAGAAATTCAGCTGGCAAACTAAAAAGCGGGGTATGAAATAAATTTCCCTTTTGTTTGTGCCATCATTTAATTATGACAACACCCGGTGTATACGTAATGTTCCCGACTTACTACAATACCATTTTATTTTTCACTCACCGTTTTTACCTTTTCCCTCCGGGGAAACATTCTTCCGTTTCAGATCTACTCCTTGGACGACGTCGAGTGCAGTGAGCTGTGCAGCTGCGGCGAGTCGCTCATTCTCACCTGCCACGCCCTCTGCGTGCCGTTCGCCCCCTGCCGCACCGCCCTGGCATTCTACAGCCACGCCTCTCCCGCCTATCAGGCGTTCCGCGGACGCTGTTTGTGCTACTCCGGCCGCTTCATCTGCATGAAGCCGCCGCTTGGGGAGTACATTCTGCCAGGTGAGTTGCCAGTTCCTTAGTTCCCCAAACCCTTCCCATTGAAAAACGAATATACGTATGCACCTGGCTGCATTATTGCGGAGGTCCTGCGGTGGCGTGTCGGGTTCGCTGTGCGTTAAGCACTTAGCGATTATCGCCGGCGACAGGCGATGACGAGGCATTGCTGTCAGGAGGAATGTAGCAGTAGGAGCATTTTTGCGTGCCACTGCGAGGGAACTCTGGCATAAAACTACACTAAAGAAATTTGTATTTCGTTTTTTAAGTTTGACAAATATAAAAAATAAAATATTTTAGAAACTTAATTTGGCAATTTATTTCCAGAGTAATACTAATTATGTGTCCGTATTAGTAAATCATTTTAATAACACTACAAATCAATGTATTTTTAAACCTTATTTATTTATCAATTTAAAAAATGTATTTCATTTAATTTTTATTTATTTCCGTTCAAGCAATAGAACTTGTATATATATTTGATAATTTATCTTGTTTATTTAAACAAATTTTATTTATTTAAAAAAAGCTTTTTCCGAACAGTTTTTCTCAACACCTTGAAAAATTTAAGGATGATTTCTTTCCAAGTGCAGCCGGCACACAGTTCTTTAAAGCCTTTGTCAGAGCCCCTCCTTCACTGAGGAGCCACTTTAGTCCGTATTTGACACAAAAAAGTACCCATTGTGGCAGGAAAGGTTGCGTGGTCCTTGTCCACTTGCCACACGGCACTTGCGTGCGTTTTCGTGCGCGGATCCCGGCAGTAAATTACGTTTGCTGCAATTGATGCTGAGCACTCCCTACATGCTTCTCTCTCTCTTTCGGTTTCAGGTGGTATATTCCTGCTGTTGGGCTACAGTGCAGCAGATGAGGCTCTGCTGAGGCCTCACACCAACCTGGGGGTGCAGGATGCCGTGCGAGCCCTCCAGCAGTACGTAACCACATACATCGATAATCAGGTAAGCCGCCGTTCAAGCGATCGCATAATAAAGTATGGCCAGCAATATATTAATTGCATTCCGTCGCTGGCATACTCTATCTCTTTCTCCCCGTAGACGCAGTGCACCCTCACGCTGTTCAATATGACCGAGGAGAACATAATCATTGCTGCTCGTCTGCCGCACGATGGCAAACTGAAGGATATTGAGCTGTTGCGTAAGGAGAAGGTTCGTTAAGATGCCGTAGGCATCATTCAGATACAAAGAGGAAACTACAGTGGAACTTTGATAACTTTAGATGACCATATAACTTCATTTGCAATTTAAAATATTAGTTTATCTACTAAGTCTATTTAAGTAGACCTTTAATTTGATCAAGCTTTAAAAGCGGTGAAAGTTATAGAGGTTCGACTGTATAATCCCACTCTCCTTAAGATTTCTCTGTGTGCCGAACGTCAGCAAATCCATTTCCCCTTAAACTAATCCAATCGACGACTATTATTGCTTATCTTGCTGTTTGCAGGACGAGTGCACCGCAATACTGAAGACCATCAGTCATCAAATCAATAGCGAGCACAGTGAGCTCCAATCCCACCGACTGCTGAGCATTTTCAAAATGTCCGAAGTCGAGGTCGTTTGGCCGGAGAGCACGAGTGCGGCGGCCCGGAGTGGACATGGTCCGGGCCAGTTTGCCGGATGCCACCGGCTGCTCTACGCGACGATGCTTGCCCTGGCATATCTATCCAGCTGGACAACTCTGCGTATGAGCGATGTGGCGACATGACAGCCGCATAGCTGAAGGATTATGGCAAGGACAATTGCATAACTGTATGTAGTAGATATTTGTAGGGGGATCATCATCGGTGGGAAGCTGCGCCATTCAAGTTGCGACATGTTGAACGATAGCGTTAACTATAAACTATAAAGATATGGTGCATACTCTTAGGCGCCGCACATGGCATAGCGTAATATCATAATGTGTTGTATACATCTAGGGGCTAGTTCTGTGTTTAGCTGAGATTTTTGTAAAGCTTTGTTGTTGACCTTTGACGATGTTGCTGTCCCTTTTGATACGTACATACACACATACACATATGTGAAGCATTATGGGATAAACATACAAAACTTATTAGACATACACCTAAAACTCATCTAGTTTAAACTATAATTTAATGTGAATGGAAACTGCTGTCTACATAATAATATTGTTAGCAATTAACAGAGGCAAACTCGATAGTTGGATTTGATGTGGCGTGTAAATAGAAGGCATATACAATAAGTACTATCTGTAGCTAGTGTTTTATACGGTAAACAATAAACACAACCCCTTGTCCGTCTGTCCGTTCAACATTATCACAGCCAAACAGACATACAATTGCATCGTTCTCATTGTTTGCTCTTTAAGCTCTATAAAGTTCTTGGCTGCCTCAATTAAAAAGAATTATTAACCGCCTTAACAGTGTTTACTTTGTTAAAGGATATGAGTGCCTCTTCTGGATATGCCAGTTCCCTTTTGATTTTTAATTACATTTTAATGCGGCTTGCCTGGCCTTCGCACAATACCTTCTCTTCCGGGCAAACAAATAATAGTCAGGCGTGCGAATGAACTCATTTAACACATTCGCATTCGATGGATGTGAGTGCAAAACGTTATTGTTAATTTATTTCATAGTTTTCCGTTTCGATTCGTTTTGAGGCGCGAAAACAATTACGGTTTCATTATCAATTATGCGTTATGCATTTCGATTGTTGCCACAATTTCACCGGGCCGTGACCTCGCCTCGTTTCAACAGGTTTCATTGCTTACCAAATAATCCGGAATCCTGAATCCTGAATTAACGTTTCAGTTCGCTGTACATAAATACTTAACACTTTGAGAACTCAATTTACGTAATTAAACTACTAACAGTACATATCAATATGAACACCTAAACGAGTTTTACACAGAAACAAAAATTCTTACAATGTCCCTTGAATGCTCTTTTGTATATAGTTCTTTATACCAAAAACTATACATAATATTTACAACGATATACAAGAAGTTAAACACATGCCTAAGTCAACCCTATGAAAAACGGTATGAGTACTTGATTTACGTTGAACAGCTAAGATCAACTTTGTATATTAAACAATAAGTTCAGTTGAGCCTTAAACAAAGTGTGTTAGAGCGGAGGGAATAGCTATTGTAAATAGGAGTTAACAACACCTGAGTGAATGGAATATCTATGAATACTAAATGAATGTTTGACATATATAAACAAAGGCTACTCACGCACTATTCACTTTAAGTCTAAGCTTGACCATTTGAAGGGAAACGTGTAGCAGTATGAAATGTACGCATATTGAAAATGGTCACAATCATGAAAAAATGTCTTCCTTAATGCATATACTCGTCGATATGTATTATGTTTATACACATAAATATATATACACGTACTAAAGAATACCTATATATACCTATACGATATCTGGCAAGACCCTAGCCTACGCTTCAGTTAGACAACAAAAGGTAATGTAATATAGACACCAAGGGCTAAACCATATCACTATCGAATATCCTTGCAAATTATATACCACTGTTGACACAAATTAAAAGTAACCGCAACATATCTAGCAAATATACCCCTAAATAAATATAAATATATATATAATTAAATATACATATTGCGTAAAGTTATAAACGTTAGAGAGCATTGAAAACTACTTTAATAGTCTCTAGAGGAAGCAACGCTTTAACCTAAAAACCTATATAGGCAGCAACAGCAGAAAAGTGTAAAGTTTATTGGAAAACCTGCTTAAGATATCTTCTAGCTAAATATTAGACGAATTTAAGGCTATCCAAAAAAAATCTAATAAGAAACTAGTAGGTCGCTAGGATTAGAACAAATTAGTAGAATTGTTGGGGCATTGGATTTTCAGTTCATTTGCTATCCTATCCATATCGTTTAATGGCCAACAAAAGCAGCAACTAAGTCGTTATACTTTCGGATCACATCAGTGAAAAGTGGCAAGTGGCAGGTGGCAGGTCGAGTGTATTGTATCATCTCATCCCCTCACTTACAGGGTGCGGACAAAGCGTAGCTACAATGTAAAGTACCGTTAAAGTAAAAAAAAAAAATGAGAAATGGAAAAACAAGATGGAAATGAAGAAAATTACAAAATAGTCGCATTAATGTAAAAAGCAAAGCAAAATGCAAAAGGAAAACTAGCACTCAAATAGCAATCTGTAGCAAGGATACGAATAAATTCGAGGATAGCAAATCAGAAAGGCATCGTAATAAACGCAAAACAGAGCGAATACTTTGAAAATTATGCATGAGGAATACGAGAGCCACACTTCAAGTTTAAAGCTGTAAGTTAAAAACTAAAAAGTAAAGGATATATATATATATATATATATATATATATAATACGATATGTTAGGAATGAATACGAGTGTGTGTTTTGTAAGTAAGCGGGCTTTATGTTAGCGTATACAACCGAATTGAGGTACATGGATAAAGATAATGATAAATTTAAAAATAAATTATAAAATAATGCAAAGCGAATGGAAACCAAGCGATACGTCGTGGCATATTTGTAATAAAAACAATGTAAGTGAAACAACAAGAACAAAAACAAGAGCAACAAAATAAAGAAAATATAGAAAGTAATGAGTTGATTTATTTTGATTTGACCAAGTTAAATACTTGTTTGGGTAAGTTAAAAAGTAAGAAAGTAAGTCCTGATATTAAAGGTATATCCTAGATATATAAATAGGTGTTTCTTTAAAGATCCAATCCTGAAACACTGGTATATGTAAAAAGCTTACGTTTCTTTTATTTTTTTCTCAACTTTCTTTCTGGGCCACATGACTCTCGATGTGCACTTCATTATTGACCCCCAAAAAGCCTCCCAGCGATCGGCAACTAAGTATGTGACACTATCGAAGCGAACAAAGCCGGGCATACAATACCAATACCCATACCCTGCTGGGTGGTGTTGGAATTGAATGGAACAGGGGCGGTAAACAACAAAGACAGCACAGTATGAAGAAGACTTGTACACACACTCACTAACAAAACCCGGGTAAACAAGGGCAAAAAGGCGGCACGAGGAAAAGCAAAACGAACTGGCTGAAAAGAAAAGCCAAGCAACCAACCACACACAATGCTTTTGTATGTGGGGCCATGGAACAAAAGATGAGCCGAAGACAAAGACACTTGCTCAAGGCAACGCCGTTTCATGGCTTAAACTCAAGTTTCCTGGGAACCACTCGACTGCACTCCACACACACACACACACCCACAACAACCCGAACATCTATAGCCACATCTACAGGCATACAAAAAACACACCCATACTCGAACAACAAAGAGTAAGGTCAATCATTGGAATTTTGCCAGTTAATTCGCATACAAAAGGCGGTGGCCCAGAAGAGAACGAAAATAACACGACGACCTCCTTCCTTCCTTTCCTTTCCTGGCATGCCGACCCCCTTTTGACCTGCCACGCCCATTGGCATGCTGAGTTTAGCATTTATACTTCCACTTAATTAGGTAATAAATGATTGAAGAAATTATGTCTAGACGTGAGGACAATTCCCGATGCCTTGGGTGAAACTCACACACCCACACACACCAATTCATTCCTCGAACGTGAGGGGTTGAGATGTTGCAAATTTCCGCACAATCACACATGCAGCTGCTATGTGTGACTTCTATTTGAATAGAACTCGTATTTTATTCTCACCGCGCTGCCGTGATTTGAAAGCTGGCATAAATTGTAAACAATTTCTTTTTGATTCAATTTGTATAACCTGCTGCCGCTAAGTGGCAATGCCTTTATATATACAAAGCCCGGCAGAAGCATATGTATTTATTTCGCATTTTATTATATACATAGCATCGGAAAGGACGAACGATGCCTGAATAGCAAAATACACGAATGAATCGTAATGAAAGCGGGAACGGGGCGGATACGCGATGCGGGCTTGCCAGTTCATTAATATAAAGGAAATGCTGAAGGTCGATGATGTGAGCTATGTATCGTTGGTTCAAAGACACAAGAAGAAAAATAATGTATACGAATTCTTTTAATATATAATTTCAAAAATTTTATCTTAAATACTTTTTAGTTATTTTAAATAAACTTAAAATAAGCCCCAAGAATTTTATTTAATAAATTGTAGTTCAAATTGTGAAACTTTTTTCACACTGTACAGGAGTAGTCATGGCTGTTGTTGCACGCACATTTATCAGGCGGCGATGATTACGTGTTTGCCATTTTATTGCTAAAACTGTTGCGCCTCTTTGTGTGCTCCAGTAGCGCTGCCTCTTTCGCTCCATTTCCCCCCATCTCTTTCTAATGTGGAAGAGTGGGCTTCTGTCTGTTTGTGACTTTGTTGCCGCTGCTGGCTTTGTTCTACTTGGAATTGCCTTTTATTTTGTGCTAATTGAAGTTGCTGCCATCATATTTTCCCCCCAGCACACATCCCACTCATTCACTCACACACAAACACACAAATATGTTGCCTTTATTGCCGCATCTATGTTTTGCCTGTTTTTGCAATTTTAATTAAAAACGTGTTTATAACAGCGCAAAGTGCTGATGAGTGAGCAGAATAATTTATTATATATATATATTTTTAGATACATTTATTTAGGAATAGTAGGATTGCAATAAATATTGCATAAAATATTGCAATTATTGGTCAAAAACTTTATTCCGATTTTTCAAAAAGAAGCCAAAAATATAATTGACAGTATATTTTGACAAAAAAATTGACGAATAAATCTGGAGATTTTATTTTTCGACCGTGTCACCCGACTCATTGTAAAAAAGCAAAAAATAAAATACATTTCAAAATTTGTTGTAAAATGGCAGAGTTCTTTGTAAGCTGTACAAAACCGTCTTTGATTTATTTTGACTCATTAAAAGGGTAAGAAACAGGAAAAAAGCCATGCTGCTTAACAATTGTTATCCTGAATATGCTTTCAAAAAGGAAATATTTGAACATAACAATACTCTGAAGGGTCGGAATATTTAATCGTAACTTTAGTATTTTGATGCCAAATCGACAAGCGCTTATTAAAATCAGACAAAAATGAACTTTTGAAATTAGCTGAAATGTGACAGCCATTGTAAGTTTTGGTAAGTTGCACAAAGCAGTCTCTATTTTGGCTGTACGATTAGTTTTGAATAATTTCTAGCTTAAATATTCACATGAATTGTACAAAAAAGTGTGTATATTTTAGCCAAAACATAATGCCATAAATGGTTTCAAAATTCCATTCCATTGTATCTTGACTTAAAATATTGACTTGTTATTTACTCAATAGATTAGCTGTCTCCATAAAAACCACTATTTGAGAATCTGTTACCTACAAAATATTTTATATGAACCCTTTTTCTTATTGTTTTATTTGTAAATGAGAGTTTTCATTATTCATTTTAAGAACTGTTTTATATTTATTTATTTATGAAAATATTTTATTATATATATAAGTTAAAAAATTTTAAAGGCTTGTTTATATTTAAAATTTTTATTATTTATAAATATTTCTTTAATTACCGGGGATCAACCAGTAAAAACAAGCATTCGATTTAAAGTTAAGTAAAAGATGCTGTCGATATGGCCAGATAGAATGCAACATTTTTTGCTGCAATTTATTGCACATAAGGTGGCGAGCACACACACATACACACACTACCATACAGCCATTGCCACATTACGAATTCCTTTGCATAACGCTGTGGGGAATGTATATTGCCAGGATGCCGAAAGAAGAGCCATGGCCACAAGGAAATATGCACCACAGCATCCTCAGCTGGAGACGCCTCAACTTCAGAATCAGCCTCAGCCACAGCACAAAGAATTCAATTGAATTGATATTCAAATGCGCTTTGCCAGCAGAGGCATCCATTATTTGTCGATTTTACACATGGCACATGGCAAATGTAAGCGAAAAATGTAAGAATCGAAGTTGGAGAAAAAGAAGCCATGCATATATATTGAGAGGCGTTCCAGGAAAGTGCGAAATCCCAGTTCTAGTTTTCATTAGTGCATTTTTACACCATCCACTACCTCACGCCAATGATCAGTGAGCCCTTTTTGATGGCTTCGATTGCTCCGGCGGACTGTGAACTATTTTTACGCCATTTGCCAAAAAGCCAGCGAACCAGCACCTTTGGCCCGAGCGAATGTAACAAAACATGGCCAGGACTCAGAGGAGTTGCATTTGCATAACGCGCTTCCCTAAGGAACAAAAAGCTGGGCTGCAGAAATGGGAAAATGGGTGCACTGAAAGAAATCAGCGTATGATTTTAGGAATAATTCAAATAGCAAAAAATTTAAGAATTTTAACATTTTTTGTCAGTTTATAATGGACTTTACATATAGGAAATATGATTGCAATTTGTAAAACTTTGAAGATATTTTTGCCAGTGCATTATCGAAGACAGATAGACAGGCTCAGGCTCCGCGTTCGATGCGCGCCAGACAAGCAGCCAAGTGCAGAAATAACACAAAATAGATGGCAATGCGATGGGGAAAATAATAGAGGCGGAATGTACGTATATATGAATCTAAGGAAAACTGCTAAGGAGCCAAATACTCGAGCATTTGCAAACGCGGCAAAGTAGCGAAAATTTGCAAATTGATTGCATTCCTGTGCCTGGGCTTCAGTTCAAGCCAGAGCTCAAATATGAAATCTTGGAGGAGTGCAAATTTTGCACATTTTTTCTGGCAACTTAGGGAATGTGAATTTCTTCTTTTGGTCGTCTTCAAATCGAAGGAGAAACAGAATTGGCAAAACAAAAGTCAAGCAACTGTAGGCTGATGCCCAAAAATATGCAAGTTTATTACATTCCTCACTCCATTTGAATGCCTCCAGCTCCTCATTCGGTGCAAATCAAATTATGCAAATCTCCAGTTTAATTACGGACAGCAGAGCTCAACTTTAAATAAATTTTTTTTTATTCAAATATACATTTCTTTCTGGATGCTATTATTTGCTCTTCTTATTTTATTAGTGTGCATCATTGGAGGGGGGCCTTATAAAATATTCAAGCACTTTGACACACATTTTCTTTAGGATGAATGAGGGAAGAGCAGAGGAGTTTGAAGAGCCGGATGTTTGATGGGAAAGACACAAAACCCGAACGGAACAAGGCAAATTTTGTTGGCCAACAAAATGACACTTAGTGCAAAAACAGGAGAACACATGCCTAATAAATAATTCAGTGCGCAACAAGCGGACAACAAGCGCACTTGTGACACCACTGAAACACCATTGGATCCACCACTGAGCCATCCTGCTGTGCCTGACCAAAGCCTTCGTGGCCAGCTGCTCAGGCTGGGCCATCCATATTCACACAAGATTGAAATCCAGTCGGATGTGTCCGCTCAAGTGTTGCGTGTTATTCGATGTCCTTCAAGACGGACATTATGCCAAAATCCAGCAGTCCGGAGAGACATATGCGGGTCATTTGCCGGCCGAATAAACGACGACGATGAGGGGCAGAATTATATTTGAGGGATGTTGCCACGACAGAGAAATCTCGTTGTGCTCAAAAGAAACGAACAATTCAATAAAATAACACGAAAATCTAATACTGAGACACGGAAATGCTTTTAGTCTGGCCGAAACTCGTCAAAATA